AACATTAATTAATCAAGACAAGGTCCTTGGGCTTGGAAGTTAAAATTAATCAGATTCATTAATTTTAATTTCAGATTAAGTTTTTTAATTAACATATTAATTAAAAAACGTTTTGATTAAGAGATATAGCTTTTAGAAAGAGTTGTGTATTTTCAAATACGTTCAATAGGTATTTGAAGAAAGGGTGTAAACCAACCTATATATTTGTAATCTTAGTTTCCAAATAGAATCATTTCCAGAGAGTAAACACACAAAACAATTCGTTAGAATTCTATAATCCAGTGCGGGTTGTAGAATTAGGTAGTTGTATCCTGGTCGAGCAAACGTTGTAGAACCACAAGCACAAAAGTGGGACGGAAATACTGTTCAAATGACATAACTTTTGTGCTAGCCTCTACATGTGGTTAATCAAGTTAGTACTATTTTAATTCTTGTATTTATTTCTGTATTTCATTATGTATAGCAAGTATTTTTTATTAATAAAATATTAAAATTTCAAGTTCTGTTATTTCTATTATTTTTATTTATTTTTAATTGTTCTCCAACAATTTGTGATGGACCATATTATAAGAATCAAACTCATCAACTCACAGATCATACTCAACAATTGTAAAAGCGTTTAATAAACTCAAATATCCCAAGTCATTGGATGAGTAATTATCAACGCAAATGCTGGACTTGAGTGAGCAGGGCCTTCCCAAATGTGTGGACCACACCAGGCATAACCAACTGATAACTGAAACACGAAAAAGGACCCAACTGTAATTAATTATCAATTAAAGCATGGTTTAATTGATTAATTATAAGGAAATATGACTGACCTGGGCAGAGTAGGATTCTCTCCTCTCTTTTTTTCCCTCCCATTCCTTCCCTCCTATATGAATGGTCACGGTTAAGCCACGTCAACATCTTATATTAATTTTTTTATAGAAAGAAAAAGACAAAGTAGAGAATATGAGAGGAGGAGATGGAAAAAAGGGGAGATAATTCTAGTCCGGCCTGGGCTGACAGCTTTTTTCTAAAAAATAAAAAATACTAGATATGTTTTCATCTGTATTTTTCAACGGAGTTAATTAGATTTAGATTAGGATGCCAAAGATGTTTGAGACACAAAGGATGGTATCTTTTTTTTTTCTCTCCCACTCTTTTAGCATAGGGTTTAAACATGATTGTCTTTGTATATGGTGATTAGGCCACGAGATGGGAGAGAGAGCGTTATTGTGTTTTTTTTTTCTTTTTTATTTATAAAGAGAGGGACAACTAATGGCAAGTTACTGTTATCCATCCTCTTTGGGCCCAAAGAGGTTATGGGGAATTACATCCTACCCGTGATCACAATCAACTAGACTCACAAGCTCAGAGCATCGAACTCGAGACCTCCTATATTTTTTGTTTATTGAGGAACCCTAGTTTACACCCTTACCACTGAACCACAAGATGGGAGACGGAAAGCGTTATTGTGTTTTTTTGGCCAGTGTCCATTTTCAAGTCTAACGTGACTGGTAACAACCAAGCTCTCAAATAATCAATGTAAGGTAGAACTCATAAAAGCTGACCAACTTTTCCAAATGTGGAGATCTATTATCCAAATTTGATAGATTTTGAAAGCTGCCCATCGACCACAAGGGTAAATTTGTTTTTAGGTCGCAAAATATATTATTCAAAATTAGAATTGAGGCAATCAATATTTTGTGTTTTAAGAAAATGTCAATAAAGAGAAATATTGGGATGGAGTACTGACCTTAGTTGGCGACGCAAATTATTTTTTTGTCTTGGTTGAACGGAAGAACTTATTCAATTGAGTCGTGCTAGCAAATGAAATGACTACTTACCTATGTCAAAAGATACAACCCTATCGAACTATTAACTCAAACAATTTACGCTCTAATGACGACATACAAACATGATCATGTGTTTATATATGAGGATGCTTGCATAGCTTATAAATAAACCATGTAAGAGTGCTCGATGTTGTGTCTCTTCCGGCAGCAATGAGACAAGGGATCAAGTCTCTCAAGTATTTCGGATCGTTCTCTTGAGATTCCAAAAGCCTTGAAATGATGTCTCCTTTCCTTAACTGCCAATATTGCCAATCATCCACACTACTTAATTAATTAATCACTTGATCTGGAATTACTAATGCGTTAAGTACATGAGGAGGTACGGAACACAGTGTGACATCCCACATTTGGCCCGAATAATAGTGTGGAAAGTTAATTACTCAAAGTCGGGAGCTCATCTTCCGATGAGTGATCTGTTTCAATCTTTCTTTTGATTAAGTTACAAACAAATTGATCTATATATCACTTTGATATTCTTCCTTAGCAGCGCTCTGATCCAATGTTTAAGAACCTTCTGATCTTCCACGAGAAATCAACAAAACAATAGATGGTCATTTCATTTGCTACATCAAAAGCATCGGCAAACGAGTAACTTCTTCATTTGTTCCGTACGTGGTGTCTAGTTCAATTCTAAGTACAATCTTGACGGTTGAGTCTTCATAAACAATTCCTTCGTCCCAAACAATTCCTTTGTCCCAAAAAGAAAACGCCAAGAATTATATATATTGTTATATACAGGAATTAGGAACCTCGTTCAAAGATCATCTTTACAAAATTAACCAAATCTCAAAATCACTTTGTCAATAAATAGATGATCATTGATCACAATATTTTAAAAGACGAATGTTCATAATGATAATCAGTTGGTCAAATGATTTTGGAGTTCAATGATTTTAATTTACAAGGTTGATTCTTGGATGGAGATCTAAAAACCAAACGGTTTCCATTTTTTAACCCTCACTGCAGAGCGCTCCAGGTTTTGGTCATACTTATCGGGTGCGTTTGTTGCACCGGACTGTCTCGGACTAGATTAGCTTCAGGGATAAAGCTGGACTGGCTTAGACTAGATTAAGCTGGACTAATTTAGTGAAGCGTTTGGTGCAGTGTCGGACTAAGAAGTTGGATAATTATCTAACTCAAATATTATGTTATTTTATCTATATTTATTAATATTTTATTATTAATTTATCATTTTATTTGTTTCTAGAATCATATATCCTTCTGTAAGTGTCAAAATCTTTTTTTTTTATTTATTCCTAAAATTATCTCTCTCTAGCCTATTTCTCCTTTCCTCCGACATTCTCCCTCTTTTTATTCTGTTTCACCATTTTTCCAGAATATTCTTCCTCTCTCTGCATACTTCTCCCTATTTTCTTCCGGCAACTCTCTCCCTCCCCTCTCCTTTTTTTTTCCTTCGTCCACTTTATCCCTAACCTCTCCCTTTTTTCCTTATGCAGAAGATTCGCGTGGAGGATTCATCGGAGCTTTCCACGCAGCGCCTCCTCTGATTTTCTCAGAAAATCTCAGGATTCTCTGGTGATTTTGCCTTTTTGTTTTGAATTTATGTGGGGATTCGCAGGTGCTTGAGCATTTGGTACGCTTTCGATCCCGACTTACGTTTGGGTTGCGCGCGAATGCGGAGATCGACGACGAGCTTCTGGTGATAGTTGTCTGGTGGTGGTCTGGTGGTTGCAACCATGACGATTTTGCTGAGAAAGAGAGTGAATTGAACGAAGAAGAAAGGAAGGGAATCAGTGGATTGTTTTTCAGTTTTGTTTAAGGTCTGGGTTTAGGCTTTTGGGTGGGATAGTGAAGGCCTAAGGGAGTGGGCGAAGGTGCAGATCATAAGGGAAAGGACGAAGGAGAAGGGAGACGATGAGGGATTAGCGGTGGGGGAGAGAACGGGACTAGCAGTCCGCTTGAAATCGAGGGGTCTCCTTAAGAACGTTTAGTGAAATGTTCAGTCGGGGCGAGTCCCCTTTAGTCCCATTAAACCTAATCCTTGTCCAGACCAAACAAGGGACTACAATCTAGTCTAGTCCAATCCCCCTTAATCCGGTCAAACAAACGCCCCCATCATGTGTTTGCTACAGTGTCGTAGGATCTCCTTTAAAGGACTAAACTAGGGGTGGATACCATCTAGATTAGTTCAGGTTTACCTTAAAACTGCAGTTTAACCAATTATAATAAAATGATTCAATTTGATGACATTGTGAGTTGAAATATATTGGTGTGAGTTTAGTGGTTGCGGCAGACTATATCATAATAAGAATCAAACTCATACTACACTCAACAATTGCAAAAACGTTATTAAACTCAAATTTTCCAAGTCATTTTATGCGTGTGATTCTAATTTATAGAAACCAACGCAATGCTTGACTTGAATGAGTAGGGCCTTCCCCTCCCCAAGCATGCCCATACTAGAGAATTAAGTGGGAAAATTTGGAAAAATAACCAAAATTTGAACTTCATATAGAATTATAGCCACTCTTTTAAGTTTATGATAATTATAACAAAAAAATGATATGAAAATATTACTATACCTTTAAAACAGAAATTGAGGGATAAGAAGAGAGTTCTAACACAGATCCCAAAAACCCAAATCAAAATGAAATTATCCTAATGTCCTACTACTGGGTTCGTCTTTTTATTTCCAAAGAAAAAAATTGACCCCGTGAACACACGAATTTTCTTGGTTTGATTGGTGTGTGATAAACCAGAATTATTTGTGGTTCATTATTTTTACTGTGAAATTGTTGTTAGGTTTTTGTTATTGTTCAAAAATAGTCAAGGAAGTTATCGAACCAGTCCCGAATAACTTGGTCTGGGAAGCTGTGAACACTCATTGCTGAGACCACTTGGAGAGCATGTCAATATGTATTTACCGTCCCACGCCACACGCATTGATTCGTTTACATTTAGCAATTTTTTTTCAAGTTTGGGGCATCTAGCTAGCTAGCATGAAAATGAAGATGATTATCTTTCAGTTGGTTTTTGTCAATTTTTTTTAACTTTCCCAATTAACTGTGTGTCGACAACACTAGGCATAACAAACTGATAAAGTAACTGAAACACAAAAAAGAACCCAACTGTAATTATTTATCGATTTAAAGCGTGGTTTAATTGAATTATAAAGAATACATACATAATTCGATCGCATAGTAAAACCGCTTGTTCTATAATCTAGTACTTTGTGGAAGAATATTGGGGCTGACATCCAACAGAGGTAGCGAACCCTAGAGACCGCAGCAGTTAAGCAACAACTGAGATACATGAATAGGTTACACATTCAATGATATAGCGTATATAGTAGCGCTTCTCTAAGGTTGGTCATGGATGCGCAAATCTAGGAGAAGCATGAACATAAAGGCCCCCATCAATGTGGAGGGTAAATTTGGTCGTGTAATGGGCTACTTTGTTCTCATCACTTAAGTTAAATATGAAGCTCCCTAAAAGCACAGCAGAAAAGATCATCGTCTCTCTATGAGCAATGTCCTTCCCTACACAAATCCTTGGACCCGCCTGCGTATGTAAATCACAAAATTACTTCGTAATTTTTGTAAAAAAAATAAAATAAAATGAAATAAATTGTGGCATGTACTAGTGATCATATCCATTTTATTTTCTTACGCTGAAGGCTGTGAATTTGAAAGGGCTTTCATGCTGGAAAATGCCATCTTCGTTGAGCCATCTCTCTGGCCGAAATTCTTCTGCATCATCACCCCATAGATATTTCATCCTACCCATGCTATAAGCATGGTACCCCACCATATCCCCTTTCTTGACACTAAATCCATCTTGCCATGTATCATCAGATGAACAAATCTTCGCATTCTATGTCGAAAATGCAGGAGTCATGTCAGAATATTGTTAATTAAATGGTTTTAAACGATTCACAATATCTTTTGGCGTTGGCTTGAATAATCAAAAGATAATCAATGGACGAGTTCTTATGCTTTCATGTCTACAACTCAGTTCATCCAATTATTACAAGGATGAAAATAAACAGGGGGTGGACGGAAACCATTTCCCTTTTAATATTCATGCACTAGATTTAAGATGTTAATCAAATTACCAGTGGAACTGAAGGGTAGAGCCTGAGTGTCTCAGTCAAAGCTGCAAAGAGGTATTGCATTTTGTTAAGGGCTTCTTCACTAAGACTGTCTGCAAGCCCATCAATGCTTGAATCGTCTTTCAGATTTGTTGCTTCCCTAACTTCCCTTGCAACCTTTTCCTGTATATGAGGGTGCTTGCAAAGCAAATAAACAAACCATGAAAGATTGCTAGCCGTTGAGTCTTTGCCGGCAACAAAGAGACTGAAAATCAAGTCTCTCAAGTACTTTGGATCGGTCTCTCTCACTGCCAAAAGTCTTGAAATAATGTCTCCTCTCCTTGACTGCCAATCATGTATATATATTAAGTAACGATAATACTAAACTAATCAGTAACGGATTGCAAGGTAATTAGCTCACTGCAGCTGGTAGCTCGTCTTCTGATGAATTATGGGCAATCTCAATCTTTCTGTTGATTAATTTGTAAAGAAATTGATCTATCACTTTGATATTATTCTTTAGCACTGCTTCTGATCCAATGTTTAAGAACCGTTTGATCTTCCAGGAGAAATCAACATAACGATATAGGGTAAGTTCGTTTGCTTCATCGAAAGCATGCGAAAATCGGGTGCCTTCTTCATTTGTCCCGTACAAGGTGTCTAGTTCGATTCCAAGCAGAATCTTGACGATTGAATCTAACCCCGCTTTCATAAACAAATCCTTCCCAGTAAAAATATTGAACAAGCAGAAGATTTCAATATCTGCCTAACAGATGAACTAACAATATGTGAATATTGATTCATTTTAGTAAACTTACTTGGATCTCTATTGCTTGGCCGCATCTTGCCGCTTCAGAAACTATCCCAGCAAGTTTTACTCCATCGGTTTTGAAAACTTCATTGCTGTAGTCTTTCACGACTTTTGTTGATAGTTCATAGCTAGATAACTTCCTTTGATGTAGCCATTTTTCACCATCAACACCGAAGATCCCGTCACCCACAACATCTGCCAATATGTTGTAGCTGTACAACCCCTGCAGCAGATCATCAAGCTAGCTTAAGAAGCATATTTAAAAGAAAACTTCAAATGCATATCCGTTAGGTTAAAGCGCGAGACAAAGTACTAGCATGAGTTTCTTAATTAGTCGCATAATATACAACGTACATACCCTGCCATAGTTTGCAAAGTTTGTTTTGAGAATGTATTCAACATTTGCAGGATCTACAGTGAAAACATAATTTACAATTAAGTTAAGCGCTCTGAAAGTTTTGTTTTTGTGTCCGAACTCAGCGATATAATCATGCAGCCGGTTGAAGTTGATGAGGGTGTGTACGCAAGTTGTGACCACAGGATGATACCTCTTTTTCTTTTCAGTACATAGTCTAGTCCTAACTATAGCAAAAATTACTAGTGCTGTGCTTATTGCTATGGTAGTGGAAAGAAAATCCATGACACTCCCAGTGGGTGGAGAAAAAAAGAACCACTTCGTAGTATCATATATAGAAGAGAAAACTTCTCCTTCTCCCGTTTTATTTATTTATTTATTTTATTTTTTTGGTAAGATAGAAGAAGACTTTAATTTGCTCTAGATATAATGAATTTAAATTTATTTAGTCTATCTTCCCACATACAGTTTCAATGCCTCAAACCTTATCCTCATTCCACTTGTGAGATATCTTTTAAGGAGAAATTAGGTTCACATTCCTCTTTTTGTTACTTCATTGATTAAAACCTAATTTCTTTTCAATTTTTTATCAATGTCCTTATGTATTAATAAACGTCATTAATTATTTCGATAATAAAATATTTTTATTTCTAAATATATTCATTTAGTGTTAGAGATGTTACATTTGGTATATTTATATTTATGGCTAAATTTTTTATCATAAATTTTTTATTTTTAGTTTGTACCCATTTTTAATTTGCAAACTTTTTTAATTTGTACCCATATATTAATTTCTTTTTGTGCCTATATTTTTTACAATTTTACTTGTATTTGTACCCATACTATTTAATTTATTTGTACCCATTTTTTTATTTTTCTAAATGTACCTATGCTGATTATATATATTTATTTTATGTTTTAAAATATATCAATAGTTATTTTTTAAAATATGTTAATAATTATGTGGGTACATTATTTTCTTGCTATAATTTTGTGAATAATATTATTCTAATATATGTAAACAAACAAGGTTTCAGTCTAACAATTAAATTGATTAGGGACCGGAACCAAAATGACCCATCTTTTAATTATTTACAGTAACCGAAAAACTCATTTTATTATTGAGTTCGAACAAGCAACAACCGTATCCAGTATCTAGGATTTTGTTAGACAACCCTATCCAGATTTGAATCAGAGGTTCAGATTTTTTCCGATTCGAAAATAACTTGAGTCAATGAATAGCAGGAAAGAATGGGAGGAGACAGCCGAAGTAAAAAAAGAATACTCTTGTGCGGTAAAAACTGGAGACTGTGATTTGGGTATGAGATCGAGCATCTCTAATGGGGAGCCTAAATGAAGTCCCTGCAATAGTATAGTTTATAAATAGACAAAGGGTTTCTAATGAATCGGAATAGAAGTTTTCAAAACATCCCAATAAATAAGGACTCACCGAATACTTCAAAGAAATCTTCAAATGTGAGGATTGTCTAGAAACTCAGAGTGGACTCCATGTTGCTTGTGAGTGGGAGAAACAAATCTCACTCATGTGTGAATGTTGCACGCGCACAACAACTTCTCTTTTTGGTTTTTTTCTTATTTTTTGAACCCCATCCATGTGAATGCTTGTAGCCATTCCTACCGCTTTCCTTTTTCTTTTCTTTTTTTGAACCGTTGGTTTTTATCAACGGTCACAATACTCCAACAAAATAAATAATAATATTTTAATATTTTAGTTTCTACATTTAGGGATTAGATTGTAAAGACGTCCCATAAAGACAATATTCATTTAAGGAACCGAATATTCTCTTGAAGTCCCTAAATCAGTCTCCAATACAGGTGACGCTTAGAATTGAAAACCAAAACATCGACCAAACTGAACCGCACCAAACGAGTTCAATTTTTGCGGTTTTGAAACGATTTCGGTATGAAACTAAACCACAAGAGAAAAAACCGATTTTGGTTTCAATTATAACCAGGGAGTTAATTTGTTTGATCTATTAAATGAAAAATTTTGTTATTTAGTACTACGGTCTAATGGTAATCATCTTCACTTGTAAGTAAGAGGTCTTAAGTTCGATTCTCACCAAAAACGAATTTGAACCACATTATTACTAGCTCACTCTCTCACTCCATAATGTACATAATATCGTTTATTTAAAAAAAAAAAAAATAAATAAAAAATAAATAAAAAGAAAAGCAAATGAAAAAAGGTAGGTAAACGATTTTTGGGGCACTTTAGTTTTGGTGGATGGCCATAGGTACATGGTTTGGTAACATAGCAGTGAGAACAGGGATCAGAAGTGGTCCAAAAGACGAGGACATTAATAATCAGAAGTGATCGGCATGATTTTGGCGTTTATTAAATTTTGAGAATAAAAATGTGAAAAAAATTATTTGAACTCTTGTAACTTCTTTTTACATTTAAATTATTTTTAATTAAAAATAATATCTTTAAATTCAAATTTACTACTTAATATACCCTTACAAACTCAATTCAATACGTAAATTTATCTTTACATCTATTTAAAAGATAAAATTTCCAATTAAAGAATTGATATCTTTTTAATCCCAAATTGCATAAACATAAAGCAGTATGGCGTGCATTTCAAAGCTAATGAAAGTAAGAGGTCTTAAGTTTGATTCTCACCAAAGACAAATTTGAACCACATTATTGCTAGCTCAGTCTCTCATCCCATAATATACATAATATCTTTTATTAAAAAAAAAAAAGGAAAAAAAAAAGCAAATGAAAAAAGGTAGGTAAACGATTTTTGCGGGACTTTAATTTCGGTGGATGGCCATAGGTACATGGTTTGGTGACATAGCGGTGAGAACGGGGATCAGAAGTGGTCCAAAAGACTAGGACATTAATAATGAGAAGCGATCGGCATGATTTTGGCGTTTATTAAATTTTGAGAATAAAAATGTGAAAAATTTATTTGAACTCTTATAATTTCTTTTTACATTTTGTTTGTACCATACTTGACCAATCCCGAAACTACTAAGCAATGGTCAACAACAGAGGCTAGCGCAAAAGTTATGTCCTTCGAACAGTATTTTTGTCACACTCTTGTGTTTGTGGTTCTATGACGCCTGCTCGACCATGATACAACTATCTAATTCTACAATCCTTACTAGATTATATAATTCTGGCGAATTGTTTTGTGTGTTTACTATCTGGAAATTTTTGTACGAAAGAGAAAGAGGAAAAGAATGATTCTGTTGGAAACTGAGACTGCGAATATATAGATTGTTTTATACCCTTTCAAATACCTATTGAACGTATTTGAAAGTGCACAACTCTTTCAAAAAGTTGTGTCTCTTAATCAAAATAATCAATATGTTAATTAAAAAAATAATTAATATGTTAATTAAAAATTTAATCTAAAATTAAATTAATTTTAACTTCCAAAGCCCAAGGCCATTGCCTTGATTAATTAATATTAATTACTGAAAATATGACTTTAACCCCTCAAACTCAATTTCTTTCATATAAAACCCGACATAAATTTTTTACTTGAATAAAACCCAATGACTAGACTCCACATTAGCAAATTCATTAATTATGTTTGACTTTACACATTTAAAATTTTTCAAATGCCTAAAATACCCCTTTTTGCATGTTTAATGTGCACAATTAAACATATGTAGATTTTAAGGAGGATTAATGATTTTACAAAAAATATAAAAAAAATATAAAAAGGTACTTCTAAATGCATTGCATGTTATATGAGAATTCAAGATTTCCACGTTTTGTAATTAATTTGGTTGATTCATGTTTCTCTCACTCCATAAAATTTGCTTCTAATTTGATATAGGAATTAATTTGCAAGTTTTCTTAATCTTAACAACATTTTTCAATCTATATATATATATATATATATATATATATATATATATTTAGTGAAATAGTCTATCTTTTAAAATATTTATCAATAAAATAATGTACCTATTGTTCAAATTTTAGGATAAAATTTTACCTGTTCTTATTTAACAATAATGTATCCACAATCTTATTTTTGTATGAATATAATTTACCTACTTTTTGATTTTATATGAAACTAATTTACCTACGGTGACAATAATGTATCTACAATACTACATAAAAGATTTACCTTTTTTAACAACAATAGTGTATCTACAATTTTGTTTTCGTATGAATATAATTTACCTACAATTTAACTTTTCAAAAAATGTATCTTCTATTTTATGTTTTACTATCATATGTATGTTTATGTGTTCACAAAATAATTTATCTAAAGTTATATAGTTAAGAGATATTGTAATGCATTATATTAATCCATTATTAGACTGGCAAAAGAAATAGTTAAAAACGTTAGCCATAATGGTTGTATGAGAACAGTTATAGAAAGTTGTGGCATAAATTGTAAATAACTTATATTAATAGGTTACTTGTTTTCTTATGTGGCAATTTATTTAAATTTTAGATTTTTATTGGATGTTGATTCATATGTGAGTTTTTATCCGAGATATATGAGTTGCATGAGCCTATATCTAAACAACCCTATTAATTATATTAAGCTATATTACACAAGCCTAATCCACACAAACAAAAAACCCAAACCTTCAATCCGTTACCAAGTTGTCCAAATCCTAAACACTTGTATAAAAGACAAAACATATATAAATGCCCTCGGGAAACCTATGTTCCCCGATGTGGGACATGGAGTCTCAAAACTCCATCAATAAGTTGCTACGTACATGCCCTGCTATGGTTTGCAAAGTCTGTTTTGAAATGTATTCAGCATTTGCAGGATCAACGGTGTAAACATAATTTACAATCAAGCTAAGATACCTGAAAGTCTTGTGTTTGTGTGGATGCTCAATGATAAAATAATCGTGCTGTCTGGAGAAGTTGACGAGGGTGTGTAAGCAGTTTGTGACAACAGGATGGCATCTCCTTTTCTTCTCGGTACCCAACCGACTGTAACTATAGCTAAATTTACTAGTGCTACACTTATTGCCATGAGAGTGGAAAGAAAAATCCATGACTACCCTAAGTGGGGATAGTGGGGATGGTGATAAGAACTACTTTGTTGTATCAATAGCCTTCCCATACAGCTTCATATATGAAAAAACCAAAATATTATAACAGGATAAAAAGCCCAAATGGATGCCGATGCTAACCGAATTCTTTTTCCGGAATTCTAAATCGAATTGATATTTACGTATATTTTTTCACCTAACCCATGTTTACATCGATTGGAAAAATCTTTCAAACAGTCTCTGGAATTGCTTGCAGTGTAACTTCAGTTCATGCTTATAATATATATACTCTAATTTTGATGCAGATTATCGTTTGGAACATGCGAAAGAGATGGAGTTCACATCTTGGATGAACCTCCCTATGAGAAGTCTGAGTTTGGTAGAGGATGATATCATGATAGGCATGGCCTTGCATTTCTATGTTTCCATTGCTTCTGTTATGAGCTAGGACAAAATGTATTCTGTTGGGGTTTTAATTGGGTATTTCAAAATATTACCGATGTTTGACATCTATAGATTTATTGTGGCATCTTAATTCTCTGTTAATGATATTAAAGATGGCTCCAATCAAGATCCAATTCTATG